GGAAGGGAGGGAAGGGGGGATCTGTCCTGTCGTTGTTTAACTGGAGGTAGGCAAGATATAATCCCTGTAAAGGGAGCTGACTAAAGCCATCTTGAAGTGAACTGTATCCAAAGGACCATCCAGAGGTTCAGGGCACCCAGCAGAGGCCCAGGCAGAAGTTGCAAGACCAACAGTGGAACTTTGGTGCTAGTGCCCCTGCAGAAGGACCTCTGAGGAATCACAAAAGTCCCCATGAGAGAAAGTTCCAGCAGTCAGGCATGGCCCTCACCACAGGCCCAGATCACAGTCTGTGCACTTTCCTCCAGGTGGGCCGCTGCTGCAGATGTTAAAGACAGCTCCAGGGGAGGGGAAAGTCAGGGGAAGTGGGAAGGAGAAAGAAGAAAGAAAATGGAGAGGAAACCCCTTATTATGCTTCCCTTGCCTGGCAGATTCCTGGTCGATGGCAGGCCCGAGTATGGAAGGAGAGAAACTGTATTCGTATTTTTGTTGAATTTTTCATATTACGCTGGACTGGACTTTTAAAATGTATGTGAAAATAGACTGTCACCAGAGAGTGCCTGAGAGAGCTATGAGAACTGTCTGAGTTTTCTTCTCAGGAGAGGGGAAGGAATGAGCTGGCATTGTGGGTTTTTAGCAGGGGCCATGGCGCAAAAACTATCCATGCTATAATTTTGTACCCTACCAGGTCTAGGATTTCAAAAACTGACTTTGCAGGTGTAAAAGCCAACCATCAGATAATTGCGTGGACATATCTGCAGTGAGTCTGATTCTGTCTTGAAGGGGCTCAAAGGACTGAGAAAGCTCTGTCTTCCCCAATGAGCAGGAGGAAGGGGTACCGTGGTGAGGGCTGCACACCCTTCACCAGGTGGGCACCGGGACACACCTGTGCTGCACACCCCCACACCCGACCTGGTGCAGCCCTGGAGAGCCTCCTCAGCCCTGGGACTCCTTGAGGATAGAGGCCATCTTGGTGCCCCTCAACTAAACCTCTCATGGCTCAATAAAAGTGACCGTCACGATGGAAATAAGCCAGCAAGTCCACTACTGACTTATCAAATGAAACGTATCTATCCGCTCACCTTTTCTTCAGTGACAACAGGGAAGGTCCCATCCCCTGAGTTGATGTCAGTCATGGGGTCCCCATCCAGTGTGTCATTCAGGATGTCACCAGACCCTACAGGAAGCAGGCATTCTGTGAGCAGTAACTACACTTTGCCGTGTTGGGAAAGAACGAGGCATTTCTTCACCTCCTAACTTGGAGAGACATCCATAATACCGTAACACAGGATTCAGAGGGAAAAAACCGAGCTGCCGAACCACACTCAGGGCAAGGCGGGAGTCCGCGGAAGTTTCCATCCCAGGTTCTGGCGCCCCCTGCTGGTCTGGAATCCTGCAGCAAGTCTCCCAACCTGCGCCTCGAATTCCTCAACTGGAAATGGGGGGTTATCATAATTCCTACTTCACAGGGTTGTTTTGAGGATTATTTGTCACAAGGATTAATTCAATTACTGCAAGAAAAGCATCGAGGACAACCCCTGCCATGTAGTAAGCAATTGATAAATGTTCATTGTCAGTGTGGTTTTACACTTGTAAAATTTAAAAAAGATGATATATGACTGTACATATTTTATCATATTACATATAACTATTATGCAAATTCATGTTATATAATAATGCTTACTAAATGACCTATATAATATGTACATATATATGCATATATGCATGTCTATATACATAGTGTATGTTTACACACACACACACACACACACACACACACACACACAAAACACTGCTAAACCACAGTGTTTAGTATTAGTTTCTTTCAGAAGATGGGTGAGTTAGGAAGAGGAAACGATTATTTTTCATGTTCATGAAACTATGTATTAATTGAATTGCTACCAGATGCACACTTTTAAAAATATATACAATTTAAAAAGCAATGGAGTTCGGAAGCAAAGAAAAAGAAGTTCGAGTTCCATAAATGCATTCTCTGGGGTAACCCTCCTGCAGCTCCCCAGAACCCATCCTATCATTCACTGCCGGTGGGCAGAGCCTGGGTGGGAATCTCATGTTTTCAGTCCCACACTGTCACCCATGACATGTGTGTCCTGCCTGATCTGCACATTAACACCTTATTACTATGAATCCCATTCTGCAGAGGAAGAGGAAGGTCCCAAGGAGAGTACCTGCTGGGAAGGGCCCTGAAGCCAGGTCGGTCTAACCCTGGGCCAGGCCCTTCCCACACACACTGTACGCACGCAGATCCCTGGTCACGACAACGCCGGGGGAGGCGCAGAACCCTCCAGAGGACACCACACCCCGCCTAATTGAATGAGGGGACCGCCCCGCACCAGTCGCGCCCCGTCTTCCCGGCTCCGACCACCAGGGGGTGCTGTACAAGGAGCCGGCCAGCCCAGCTGCTGAGGCCTGACACCCGGGAGGACGGAGGCGAAGTGGCCCACCCGCGGGTCAAAGTGGTGTCGGGGAAGCTTGGAATACAACTATTAGGGGGCTTTCCCTAGCCGGGGCAGGCACTAGGGATGCAGGCTCCTTTCTCCCACCATCTGGGCTGTCTACCCACCAAGAAAAGGGACATTTTGGCCAGCTCTGCTGTTTCCGTTTGGCTTTTTGTCCACCAGATAACAAGGATGGCTGATGCAGGGAAACAGGCCAGCTGTGCAGGGCTTTGAGTCCCAGTCTCTATCCATGAGGATCTTACCTCCTGAGTTTAGGAAAGCCCTGGACCCTTGCCCCTCTCTCAGAGATGTTAATTCCACCCTTGAGAACAGCATGTACGATTCCTAAACCACTTCCACGGCGGCAGCCAGATTCAGTCCTCTCATCCACCAGGAAGGCAAGGATTGTTCACAGTCCCAGAGGACAGTTAAGGAATCTAAGACTTGGACATGTTCAGCAACTTGCCCCAGGATGACAGCAAATAGGTGTCTGAGCAGGGCTTCTTTCCAGACTGACTTTCCCGGTGGCCATCTGTCCCCAGCAACACCCTACCTCCTTGGCTCTGTCGAGACTTTATTAAATTATCATACAGTTGTTTTATCTCCAAGTCACTATACCTTCTACTCACAGACTTCCCAAGTTCAGTTGTAAAAATAACATTCATTAACTTATAGCAGAAGCAAAAGAAGATTGGAAAATATTATCGTAGAAGACTTGTAAAATACAAAGTACAATAAAGAAAATAAAAACCACCAGGTACCGTGGTTTACGCCTGTAATCCCAGCACTTTTGGAGGCCGAGGTGGGAGGATTGCTTGAGCCCAGGAGTTCGAGACCAGCCTGGGCAACATAACAAGATCTCATCTCTACAAAAAAAAAAAGCTGGGCCTGGTGGTATACACCTATAATCCCAGCTACTTGGGAGAGGGCTGAAGAGGGAGGACCACCTAAGCCCAAGAGGTTGGGACTGCGGTGAGCTGTGATTGTGCCACTGTACTCCAGCCTGGGTGACAGAGTATCTGACACACACACAGACAAAAAAAATGGCACATAGTAGGTATTCAATAAATAGCAATTATTACAAGTTTTTTCCTTTTTCTTTGTTCTTTCTTTTTCTTTTGTGCTTATTTCTCCAAGAAATAAGTTGTTAAACCCCAGGAGATCTGGGTTTAAACGCTCAGGTACCCGAGGTCAAACACCAGCTCCACCATTCACAAGCCCTGCAGACCTGACTGGGTTAGCTAAGTTCTCTGCGACTCAATTTCCTCATCTTGCCTGTAAAATGAGGACAGTTATCCTTCCTTAAAGAGTTGAGGTTAAGTGAGGTTAAATGAGATGGCTGTATGTCACATACATGGCCCCAGCTGGACACACAGTAATCACCCAGTAAAAGGCTGCTATGTAGGGATGGGCATCAGGACTTGCCTTGTTCAAGGCTGTTGTGTGGGACGGGGTTCATGTTGGTGGTTTCTGGGGTCCCCTCAGGTACAGGTTCACCGGAAAGCTCTGTGTCCTCAGACGGAGTGGATGGAGTTGGAGGTGTGTTTATGGGCTCAACTTTTGCTTCTTCAGGCTGAAGGGAGGAGAAATGGGACTTGGAATTATTTACTTGGCAGTCAGCTGGAAAAATGACAGTGAATATCACTGGAGAAAATAACATTCCCAAAGTGCTGGTACACCCAGAAGAAAGCCACTGCACTTCCCAGGGCCTGTAACAGGTGCGTGCTAGAGGGAATTATATTCCATTCAGTTTTCAGTGAGACTCTGTTTGTCTCATTCAAGCTCCTTGAGCACAGAGACCACATTTCTGCAATCCTTGAATCCTAGGCCAGCACAGAGGAGGTGCTCAGGAAAGGTGTGTTAGATGAGGAAATGCTTGAATGAATGAATGGACAAATGAATAAACCAGGCTGCACTCTGTAAACACCGTGAAAATTCAACCCTACACATGCACTGATCATGAATGCCCATGAAAATGCAAGATGAATGTGGCTTCCTCCCAAGGAAACTCCAGCATCTGTATAGCTCTCCCAAAGTCAGTCAGTGTCTTAACCAACTTTACCAGCTGGGGAAAAACAAAAACCCAACAGCAAGAAATACAGAACAGTTAAGGGATCCAGGCAGAAATCCAAATCACAGCATCACCCTCAGGCCCAGGTAGCAGCTCATGAGACCCAGGGCATGTCAGCATTCAAACAGTCGCATCACTTCCTAAGCTCAAGGGGCTGGGGATGGATGGAAGAACCCTGCTGACCAGTGCTGGGCTTGTGGTGTGAAAAGAAACCAATCTTTGTTGTAAGACACTAAGATTTCAGGGTTAATTTGTTACGCAGCATCACTTACCTGTTCTGACTAATAACGGGAGGTTGTTTCCTTAATGTCAGAATCTAGTGTGTAAACAATGAAACTCTGGTCTATCAGAACAAGGAGGATTGTTAGATGCCCCTTAATTTAGGATTTAATGGTTCAGGTCCTAAGTCAGACTTGGATCAAATCCCAGCTCTCTACCTATCAGCTAAGTAACGTTGGACAAGTCATGGAACCTCACAGAGCCTCAGCTTCCTCCTCTGTAAAAGTGGGGACAATAACTACTCAAAGGTAGAAATAGTTCCCTTCGATGTCACCATACTATTTTCCACAGAGGCTGGACTAGTTTGCCCTCCCACCAACAGTGTAGAAGTGTCCCCTTTTCTCCACACCCATGCCAGCAATTTTTTATTTATTAATGATGGTCATCCTTACTGGGGTAAGGTGGTATCTCAGTATGGTTTTCATTTGTATTTCTCTGATATCACAAGAGAGGGATCCACAGTTGAGAGACCCTGCAGAGGCAGGAGGAAGGGGGAGCACATAACAACACAAGGGTATCTGATCCTAGACCGGGGAAGTGAGGACCAGTTGGAGGCCCAAACTTCACTTGCATGTACATTATTCATGTGCCTAATCCTGACTTGCACCCCACATCTTTATAATAAAATAAAGTTAAAAAAAAAAGAGATAGAGATAGGACTAAGCACACCTTTGTTTTTAGTACATAATATTCCTGATTCATTATTGAAAAAACTTCAAGTGCAGATGAGCACAAAAAGAAATCATCTTGGAGCTGGGCTCGGTGGCTCAGCCTGTAATCCCGCGCCTTTGGGAGGCTGAGGTGAGTGGATTGCCTGAGCCTGAGGGTTCGAGACCTGCCTGGGCAGGCGTGACCTCATCTCTACAATAAATCAAAAAATCAGCCGGGTGTGGTAGCACATGCCTGTAATTCCGGCTACTCGGAAGACTGAGGCGGAAGGATCGCTGGAGCCCAGCAGGTCGAGGCTGCGGTGGCCGGGAGCGGCCACTGCACTCCAGTCTGGGCAACAGAGTGAGACTCCAACTCAAAAAAAAAAAAAAAAAAAGAAATCACCTTGAATACCAGCACTAGAGAAAATCACCATTGATTTCATTGTACTGTAAAAGCTCCAGGGTAGAGGAGGGAAGTAAGCTTTCAAGGCGTTGGGCCTTGAAACATGAACAGAGTTTCAGAAAACAGGGGTGGTGGGAGAAGCCGATAGAGGTCAGGGCCCAAAAACTTGAGCTTGGTAACAGTCCAGGGCTGGAGAAGGGAGGCAGCAGGACGGAGCCAGAGCCTAGGGAGGGTTAGTTCTTTGGTGGGAAGGATGAGTGTGGACCCAAGGACAAAGAACAGCCACCATGGGGTACTAGGCGAGGGAGTGGTGTGGGCAGCTGTGTACCTTGGAGACCCCCTACCTCCCCTTGGAGAGCGGTGTGAGCATGGATCGGGGCGTCAAAGCTTAGGCAAAGAAGCCAGGGATTAACACTAAAGAAGCCGGTGAGGGCTGGGCGTGGTGGCTCAAGCCTGTAATCCCAGCACTTTGGGAGGCCAAGGTGAGGGGATTGCCTGAGCCCACAGGTTCGAGAACAGCCTGGGCAACTTGGTGAGACCTCATCCCTACGATAAATGAAAAAACTAGCTGGGTGTGGTAGCACACCTATAGTTCCAGCTACCTGGCAGGCTGAGGCAGAAGGATCACCTGAACCTAGTAGGTGAACACTGGGGTGGCCATGCGCATGCCAAATCACTCCAGCCTGGGTGACAGAGTGAGATTCCAACTCAAAAAAAAGAAGAAACCCAAGAGGCAAGAACTAGGGTGGCAGAGAGAGGAGAGTAAGCATCTCCCCAGGAGAGAGTGAAGAAGACCAGGACCATCATCTAGCAGGGAAGATAAGGACCCCAACCCCAGGCCCCAGAAGGTTCCTCTCCACTCCCTGCAGGAGGTCTGGACGGAAGCCGCTTGACCGTGGTTCCCTCATGGTGTCAAGGAGTCCTGCCAGCTCATCTCCAGCCTGGAGTGAGCTGTAAGCAAAGGTGGCTGTAAGCAAAGGTGCCATAGAAGGCATTTGGGCTTCGGGATAAAGCAGGCAGGGTGGGGAGGGTCCAGGAAGCACAGGGCAACGTGATGGGGGACTAAGCTCTGTCACTCAAGGGGGCTGAAGTTGGGTTTATATGAAATCACTGGCTCCAGTCCATCCGCTCAAAACTACTTTTGGAAAACTCCCAAAAAGGCAATTGCCCCGTGTCCCTATTCAAGGGCAGAGCATGATTCTGGTGAGTTGATCCTTGGTAGAGAGAGTACGGTGTCCTGCCTCAAACAGGTGGCTTTGGTTTTCAGGGGTCAACATGGATGGGGAACCAGTGTGGCCTGTGACAAAACAGAAATCTAAAGTCTTAAGACTTTTGTCATTAAAAGCATTGCAGTCCAGGTGCAGTGGCTCATGCCTATAATCCCAGCACTTTGGGAGGACAAGGCAGGAAGATTGCTTGAGCACAGGAGTTTGAGACCAGCTTGGGTTACATAGGGAGACCCCATCTCTAATTTAAAAAACCTATCAGAAGTGTTGCAAGTTGCCAAGCCCACACTCACGTCCATAAAATCAGATTTACTCACTCAACATGAGTTTCCTGAGGTCCTACTGTGTGCCAGGTCCTTGACTGAGTCCTGGGGACAAAGAAACTAATAAATAAGACAGTATGTGGGCACTCAAACTGTCAGACAACGGAGGAGGCATAGCCCAGGCTCAGACCCAGATCAGACACAACTAACTGCGATTTGATGTGACACATGGGAAGCGATGCCCAAGTGGGGGAAGGAAGGGGACTTGGCAATGATGGCTCTGAGGAGAGGAGGTGGACTGGGTCCTGAAGGCTAAGTGAGGACTTGCAGGCAGAAAAGGGGGCAGGGAAGGGCCTCCAGGCAAGCAGAACTGCAGGAAGAAAGGTGTGACGAAGGGGGATAGTGCTCTGTGTGCTAGGGGAGCCGTGAGCATCAGGGTGTGATAGGAAGAGGGGCCTTGGCTGAGGACCAGAAACACCTGCAGAGCCTTTTGTCAGTGCAGATCTAGAACCTCACTGCTGACCTGCTAAAGCTGAATGTCCAGGTGTGCAGCCCAGGCAGGATGGTGTGTGTGTGTGTGTGTGTGTGTGTGTGTGTGTGTGTGTGTGTGTGTTGTGTTGTGTTGTTTGGTTTTCCTGAGCTGAGGTCTCACTCTGTCACCCAGATTGGAGTGTAGTGACAACATCATCAAGGCTCACCACAGCCTCCACTTCCTGGGCTCAGGTGATCCTTCTGCTTCAGTCTCCTGAGTAGCTGGAACTACAGAAGGCACACGCCACCATGCCTGGCTAATTTTTTATTTTTTTGTGTGCAACGAGGTCTCACCCAGGCTGGTCTTGAGCTCCCAGGTTCAAGAAATTCCCAGCCTCGGCCTCCCAAAGTGCTGGGATTACAGGTGTGAACCACAGTGCCTGGCCAAGACCGTCATGCCCCTCTGTTCCCCCACTCCCCACACACATACACACGCACAGGTGGTGGGGCTGAGAGCCATGGGGATGTTCTAACTCAGCATAACATGGAACTTTTGAGAAATGCAAAGAATGGGCTAGCAGAGACCCCAACTTTAAGGGGGGAAGAGGGTGAGGAGGGGCTGAGTGTTTAGTTCCTGGCCTCTCAGCTGGTCCATGATTTGGTTCACTGGTTATGACTTGTCTCAGAGGGTGGCAAGCTGGGGAGACTGAGTTTGGGGAAGTGAGATTCATTCCAAGAAAGAAACCAGACAGAGAAGGGAAGGGACTGTCTGAGCCAAAGAGAGAAATTCCCCATCCTGGAGGGTGGCTGCCGAAAAGAGCCATGGAGCCCTTCCAGGAGATGTTTGTGGTCTCACCCAGGCTGGTCTTGAGCTCCCAGGTTCAAGAAATTCCCAGCCTCGGCCTCCCAAAGTGCTGGGATTACAGGTGTGAACCACAGTGCCTGGCCAAGACCGTCATGCCCCTCTGTTCCCCCACTCCCCACACACATACACACGCACAGGTGCTGGGGCTTAGAGCCACACACATACACACTCACTTCAGGGGTGGTGTGACCAAGCGAGCGCACCTCAGACCTTCAGGCAAGGTGGCCTCAGGCAATACTTTCCACTATGCCTCAGTGCCCTCTTCTGTAGAATAGTCTCAAAAAGACCTCCCTGCAAAGGCGACTCAAGGAAATATAAGCACTTGGAAGAGCATGAAATGCAGCAACGCTAGAGGGGCGCCCATGGAAGGGATTCTGTTGACTGGGAACAGACAAGTTACCACCACCCCCAGAGTCACAGCCCTGGGGATATTCTCTTTACAACAGAGGGCAGTCACAAAGGTTTGGCACACCTATCACCCCAGTCACCAGCCAACAAGGAGATAGGTTACAGGAGGGGGCCCCATGAGGAATGAGGCATCTACACTGTGTCTGGTGCTGAGTCCTGCCCTGAGCTGGGCTTTCTAGGGCATCGCCACCCTTAATCTTTACAACAAACCCGACAGTCTGTAGTGACAACACTCCCCACTAACTGCCGCATGCCAAGCACCATCCAAGCATCTCACCCGCGTCAATGTGTCTAATTACCATACTAACCCTATGAGACGGTACGCTCCATTGTCACGAGGAAGAAACTGAGCCTTGGGGAGGTTAAGTCACGTGCTCATGGTCGACAGCTAGCAAGTGACAGAACTGGGACTCATGCTGGGTGGAACTCTCATCACCACCCGTTCTCTTAAGACCACTGGGAAAAGTGGGGCTTGGGGATCTAGAAAAGAAAGTGTTTGGGGTAACCCCAAGACCCATGAGGCCACCAAGTTCATCAGATCACCAACAACTTTTTCTTTTTCACGTCTCCATATACTCTGGGAATTTATTTCAGCCCCATCCCCATCTGCTGCTGTGAGTCCCACCTCTGTCCCTGGCCCTGCAGAGCTGAGGTCCTGGGGAGGGGGCTCAGGCTGGGGTATCTGTTGGCCCAGCTTGATTTCTTACTCCACCACCCCATGACCCCGGCAGAGCCATCCTGCCCTCCTGACATCCATTTCCGCATCTGTACAATGGGGCTCATATCACCTCCCTTTCAAGTTGATGGCAAGGAATAAGTGCAAGCACGTAGACAGAAGCGCCAGGCCCACAGTGGGTATGGAACTATGCCAGTTCTCTTTCCTCTCCTTCCATTTTTCTACCCTGTCCAAAGCTGCCTGGCTCCAATGCTCTCTCCAAGCTCCCCTGGCCCACATCTGTCCTGTGAGCCAGGGATCCTCTCAAGTCCCACTCTCCTTCCCTGGTCCTCTCGTGGAGCTACCCTGGGCTACTGGCATCTCTGCCCGAGTTGTCCTCACTGTGAGCTGTGAGTGGGTGCCCTGGGGGGCAGGCAGCATCGGGTTCAAAGGCCACCACTCTGTGCCCTGCTGCCCTGTGCTCAGGACATGCCAATGGGGTGGTCAAGGACTGACTGGCACATAGGACTGTAATACCACCCTGAGCACCACCAGGCAGACGGGCATCTTGAACTCATGACTTCCTCCATCCCATCTGCCCAGGAGCTGCCTGTGATCCTGGGGATGGACTTCTGCAGCACTACCCAGGCCATGACTCCATGGATGGGCACCAGGAGACCCATGCTCTAGCCTCAGTTCTGCCCACAAACTCTTGGGCTAGTCTTTGCTCCGCTCTGAGCCTCAGTTTTGCTCATCTATACACAGAGAGATGACCTTTAAGTCCTTCCAGTGCTAGCAGACTAACGGTTCTTTCTATTCGGCCACACTTCAACACTTGTCGCCTGGGGTCTATAATTGCTAACCTCTGCCTTATTTCCATCTCCCTGCTTTCTTCTATCAGTCAGTTTCCAGAGTGAGTCAGGCCAGTCAAGGTGATTGCTGAAGCTCTTCTATGTTCAGTGACTCAAGCAGTTTGCTGTTGTCATTAAAGATGGGCTCTTGGTGTCCCCAGGGTCTGACTCAGTGCTTTCAAAACCACATCTACATCTCGGTCACAGGGTGCATTCCCAGGAGAGAGGAGACCCAAGCCACTGGAAGGAGGGCTGCCTTTCCTATGGGGCCAGGAGCGAGCTCCCAGGACTCTGCGGCTCACAGGAGTGTAGGCCTGATGGTGTTTTCACAGCTGGAGCCCTGAGCAAATGTATCAACAGCCATCACTCAGAGCCACTTACCTCATGTCAGGCATTGGGCTGAGCTTTGTCCCTGTGCAGCCTCATCTAACCCTCACAACAACCCTATGAAGTAGGACTATTATTAGCACGATTCTGTGGAAGATGAGTTGAGGTTCAGAGAGGTTGAATCACTTACCCAAGGCCACAGAGCTGGGAAGCAATAGAGCATAACATTTGCCCTTGAACAGCCCTCTCATGGCCACAAGTATAGTGTTGCACGGAGTTAACTGGTGTCCCTGTTCACCTGGGGATTTTGTAAAGTGCCCATTGGCCAGTACTTGACCTCCTCAGATGAGTCAATGAATAAGTACACAGATCTGAAAACAGAGAGGTCAGACCCGGGGCTCTGGGCAACTTCCAGTAATTCTTATCCCCTAAAAGCTAACCAGGATTACACGGCACAGCACTGCAGGACTCACCGGGGCTTGAGTATAGGTGACAGCTTCTAAGATTTCAGCGACTCCGTCTGTCTCCTGAAGCCCACTGGTCTCTCCTGATGCCTGTGTGGAGACAAACCATGCCACACACCAGACAGAAGGGAGCAGGTCACATGAAAGCCTGACAACCGAGAAAGCCAAAGAAACCAACAAACCGACTCCTGTAGAGAAGCCGTGTGTGTGTGTGTGTGTGTGTGTGTGTGTGTGTGTGTGTGTGTGTGTGTGTGTTTGTGTGTGTGTATGTATGTATGCGTGTCAGAGACAGAGACAGAATGGGGTTGAGAAGACAGCTTTGTGTAGTATGCATGGATGGTTATTTGTTTTGTTTCCTTCCACATTTTATTAAACAAATAAACACAAGTATTTTATAGTCTCTCTAACATGTCAAAGTTCATTTCACCCAGGTTCCCTGCAATCCCGTCTTTGCGAGGATGTCATTGTAGTTTTGTGCTGGGAACCTTTCCATCCTAAGTGTGACCCTCCTGCTGCCATGGCATCTTCATGATGAGCTCCCTGAAGGCAGTGGAAGCCTGAGTGCCATGATTTTATAACCAGTCCCTTGCTCTTGGACTTTTGGGTTGTCTCTGCTCTTTCCATGTCAGAGGCATTGCAAGATGGACAAATGGCTACACGAAAGGTTTGCCTTTCTCGGCTTCCCACAAATGCCAAGGCCAGATCCCAGGCACACGGAGTGCAAGCATTCTTACAGAGAGCCCACCTCCACTTCAGAGGGGCTTTCCAATCCAATCAACAGCGTTTTGCTTTTCACTGAGTGAATGGAATCAATTTAGGTTTTTTGTGGGGTTGACACCAGCCAAAGGGCAACAGGAATTCTAGGAATATGCTGCCTTCTGTGTGTCTGATTTTTTGTGTCACATGATCCCTTCTTCCTGGGAGGCCTTTTCTTCTGCATCTGCCTAACTCTTACTTGTCAGGGGTCAGTCCCTAGTTCTCCCATTCTCTCTAGCTAGGTAGATGCAAGGTTCTCAGCCAATCCTGGGGTGAGGGAAGGGAGGGAAGGAAGACAGGAGGAGGGGAGGGAGAGAGGTACTGAGGGAGAGGGGGGGAGAGAGGGAGGCAGGGAAGAAGGGAAAAGGGAAGAGGGAGTCATCTTTTTTCTCCTGCCCACCACCCCATCCACAACTTAGGAATGGATTCACCTGCCAAATATAAAAGCTAAATTTGGGTTGGTTTTTATAGGAATTTACACCCAAAATATCTTAGAGCTTTAACTTTGATTTTTTAGAATACTGACACCCTTTCTTGGCAAGAAGGCTAGAAATCAGGCCATTGACTGCCACAGCTTCAGAAGAATCTAACACCTTATAAGAAACCCCCTCCTACCCACCCCCCCAGAGATGGTTGAACCTCTTTTAAAAGTGAAATAAGGCCAAAAGCCCAAAATAGGACTCGAGGCAGTGCTTGCCAAGAAGAGAGGTCTTAGAAGACTCCACGACGTGGGAGATGGAGAATTGCCCAGGCACCCAGCCGTCCCCTGGCCACTGGCTGCGGGGGGTGGGGACTCACCGAGGACTCTTCCACTTCACACAGCTCCTCAGGAGTCCGGGTGTCAGAGTGGAGGGTGAGCTGCTGTATGGAGCCCTGTGAAGAAGAGAGGGATCAGAAGCCATAGTCACACGTCCACTGCACTCCTGCCATGGAAGACATGGTTGTTTTGTAACAGAGAGGAACGAGAGAAAGCATGGTTATGGAAGACACTACCTGTGGCCACCACGAGGGAGTCAAGCCACCTCTTGGTCCCTCTCTGTTGAGAGGACTCTCCTTGGGCCAAGATGACACTGACCACCTGAGCCAAAGAGGTCCTTGGGGAGCATGTGTTCCAAGTGTGGACACCACAGCAGTCTCTTCACTGTCTCCAAGTCCCTGGTCTGTCAGGGACAAGCCCTGAAACACGTCTCCCTCTCCCAGCAAGTGTGTTTCCCCTGTTGCTCAAGGCTTTGGTGCTAGAAGGCCTTACCCCAAGAAGGGCTGCCAGAAGTATTCCTGCCTCCATTCTCTCCTTTTCTCCCCATGCCTGACAGCTCTGAGGCCCCAGAGTGAACATTTAAAAACTGTCCCTGGGACCTTAACTTCTTAACATTCTCCAGCGTCTTCCACAGTACCACAGGTGAACTCGAGCCCCGCCCCATGGTACTGTCTTGTTTACCTGTGAGGTGTCAGTAAATGCATGTGCTCACTCAATGAATAACTGTAATAAATTAGTGATTTCTTTTAGGAAGCCTTATTCATAAAAGCCCATAGTAATATTAAAGTCAGTTTTCTGAATTTTTTTTAAAAGAACACATCCAAAAGGAAAGAGAGAGAAGCTTCCTGTTGTTATTTTAAACTTGTGCCCTGAAAGAGGTTTGCATGTTGTGGTGGGAAGAATGCTAGGCCTAAGACCCCAACACCTAGATTCTGGTTCTCAGTTTTCAACTTAGTTTCCAGAGTATTCCATAGTTGTGGAAATTACTTAAGTGCAATTGTGCTTGGATTCTCTGATCCTGTGTTTCCTTATCTGTAGTTGGAAATAAGAAAACCTGCTCCACAGGCTTGTAGAGTCAAATGAGATCACCTGGTGAAAGTGCTTTGCACATTTTAAGGCATTCTAAAAAAGTCTGAGATGTGTTATATCCTCACTCTTTTTTATCTTTGACTATGGGTGGCAATTGCACTTGAGTAATTTCTGCAACTGTGGAATACTCTGGAAACTAAGTTGAAAACTGAGGACCAGAATCTAGGTGTTGGGGTCCCAGGCCTAGTGTTCTTCCCACCACAACATGCATGCCTCTTTCAGGACACAAGTTTAAAATAACAACAGCAATAGTTGCTCGTATTTGTTGCATGACCAGTTTCTGTCCCTCCACCTCCCTGATCTGCTAGGGACTTTGACTCACTGTGAATCTTTCCAGCCCCGTGGCTCCTGCGCTGCCCACAAAGATTCCTGCGCTGGGCTCGAAAGCCAGAGTCTGGGAAGACCGCTGGAAGGAGACGTGACTGTGCTCCTCACAGTCCAGGAGGAGGGTCGCTTCCTCACCCTGGACGATCACGGCAAAACGGTTCCACCTATTGGTCATCACGGGCACCAAGAAGGCAGCAGCCTCAGTGGACACATGGGAGCCAGGCTCCGTGTAGTAGAGGATGACCCGCTGGTGGCCGTCCTCCACGCCTGAGAGCCGCAGACCCAGGTAGATGACTTTCTGGAAGGCATCAGTGATAGCAAAGAGCACGCCACCCCGGGTGTTACTGGGCTTCACTGTGACGCTGATGGCAAAGTCCCTGAAGAAGGTGGGTGGGATGAGGGTCCTGGCCGGGCGGCCAACATTGGCACCAGGTCCGAAGCTGTAGGCTGGGAATCCACCATAGCCTGTGACAAAGGACACGGACGAGGGCAGTGGGACACCGATGAGCTCCGTGAGGTCCAGATGGCTCTGGGAAGCTGACCCTGCAGGGAGGGAGAAAGAAGTCATGCTTCACAGGTGTGTCCTACTGTGCTTGGAAGTGAAGAAGAAACCCAGATATGGGGAACAGAAACCCTCAGGAACGACACAGAAACTGCAGTTTCTACATTGTTGGTTTTCCAACATTTCTGACAACAACTCACAGCAAGAAAGACATCAACATTGCCATCCAAAATGCACATATGTAGATAAATAAGCATCTGTAATTCTGAAACAAATGTTTCATAAAACATTATAGACTGTCACTACTCCCCAGGCACTCAGATATTTTCTTTTCCATTTAATTATTCTTTTTCTGCTTTATTTTATTTAAAAAAAAAACATGCTGGAAATGACCTGCTAAAATGATTTCTTTACCTGCGAATGGGTAATGACCATTAGTTTGGATAATATTTATAAATAATTCCGAGGATATATAATGTTTCCCCATCAACTTGGAGACTTTTTCCCCCATTATAAAACCAGATAGGTTTGTTTTGTTTTGAATAATGAGGACTACTGCTTAAGTGTCTAAGAATGGCGGGGGGAGCAGGGACAAAGTAAAATGTGCTCAGCACAATTGAAATTTGTATCATCATCCACATTCCTCGAGTTCTCTCTCTGTACCAGGCCCTGCTCTAAGGTCTTCACATACATTAGCTAATTTAATCCTCACAACAACCTTATGACGTTGGATACTCTTATCCCCATTTTACTTCTGAAAAAACTGAAGCTTAGGGAAATCAACAGTTTTGCTCAAGGTAAGTTGGATGCAAGGTTCAAACCCAGAGCATCTGACCTCAGAGTCTGTGTGGTTCACCACCACACCTTGAGAGGAGAAATGATCGAGTCGCATTATGGTGTCCTGAAAGGACCCCAGGCCGGGGAAGTATTGGCCCATCCAACCACTGTCCACCAGGAAAGTTGCAGAATGACTTCCAACAACATGCACCCACTCCTGCAACAAGGCGCCAGCAATGAAATAGAAAGGCAGGTCCCCGGGAGAGGTGGACAAGGCCACTGCAGCCGGGACAAGGGACAGGCAATAATTTTTGGCCTCAGAAGTAAGGCTGGATTCTGAGGATTCAGCCAGATGAAGAGGCCTACAATGAGTGAGGATCAGAACCTAATAATGTCCTCCCCTGGGGGCCAGAAGACTGGGCAGACTCTCCTGGTGACCGTCCGGACCCATGAGAGCCTGAGTGTTCTCCAAAAACCTGGCCGGTTGGTCTCCAGAGAAGACCTAAACCACTTGAGATCACCTCTAGGTAAAGCCCTCCCAGAGGCATGAAGCCTGTTTCCCAGTTTACCCAACTTGTGTCTTACTGGACACAACTGACTAGCTGTGTGACCTTGGGTAAGTCACTTAACCACTTTATCATACGAGGCAACAGTATGGCCTCCAAAAGATAATTAAATTGGACCATCCATGTAAACTCTCAGTCAGTAATGGTGGTAATGCAATAAACACTCACTGCTTTTTATTTTTATTATATCCACTCAACAGCTCCAAAAGGTTACTGAGTAGGGATTACTGTCTCTACTGTGCTGACAAGAAAAGTGAGGCTGATACAGGGGCCTGCCTCTGTGTCCTTGAGTTCCCTCATAAAGAGTAACAACAACTGTGATTTTCATACATAATTGTGCCTAGTCCTCACGGCAGCCCTGGAAATTAACTGCTATCATTCCATTTGACAGTTGAAGAACTGTAGGAAGCTTAGGAAGATAAAGTGACTGGCCTGAAGTTAGACAGCTGGTAAGTGGCAGGACGTTTTTGAGCCATGGTTGGTCTGACTTCTGGCTGATTCACAGCTACAGCTTCATTGAGATGGGGGTTCTGGGTGAGGCCCGACATCATTTGCGTACCACACTAATGACCCATCAGCAATAAGAAGGATAGAGTTGAAACCCTGGGAAGTCTAGGAACTCAAACTTCTCATGGGTGGCATGCATGCACTTGGAAGATGGGAGAGAGGAGGGCGCCCTGCCTGCTGTGCCCCCACCCCACCACAAATGACTCTTAGTCAGCTATTACGAAATTATTTTGAAATATTTAATTATGATGAAATATTTAGTCATACAAAAAAGCACAGTATAAAGAATAATATGAAGCAATTAAAGATGGCTAAAAAGGCAAATTTTATGTTATGAATGTTTAACCACAATTTTTAAAACTTTGTACATAGCCCATAGGGTAGTTGTAAGGATTAAATGAGATAATAATACAAAGTGCCAGCACACGACCAATGCTTAAAAAAAGGTGTATATCATCATCACCATCATCATCACCATAGACTTTTCGGTTCAGAAAGGAATCTCAGAGGTCACCGAATACAACTCTGTCTAAGATGCATTAACCCTGCCCTGTCCAGTACGGCAGCTTCTGGTCACAGCACTTGAGATGTGGATCTTTCCAGTTGAGATGTGTCCTAAGTTATAAATACAAACCGGATTTCAAAGATTTCATTTGGGAGAAGGAATGTAAAATAGCACACTAATAATTTTTACATTGATTAATGTTGAAATGATACTTTTGGAAAATACTGGATTAAATAAAATCTGTTATTGAAATAGTTTTTTTGAATAATATGGGCCAGGCTTGGTGGCTCAGCCTGTAATCCCAGCACTTTGGGAGGCCGAGGCGAGGGGATTGCCTGAGACCATGGGTTCGAGACCAGTCTGGGCAGCTAGGTGAGACCTTGTCTTTGCAATAAATCAAAAATTAGCCAGGCGTGGTAGCACGTGCATGTAATTCTGGCTACTTGGAAGGTTGAGATGGAAGTATCGCCGGAACCCAGCAAGTCGACACTGGGGTGGCCATGAGTGTGCCACTGCACTCCAGCCTGGGTGACAGAGTAAGAAAGAAGAAGAGTATGAGGAACAAATATGTGCCCATCACTCCTCTTAAGAAAGAAAATGTCACTTCAGCTGAAGCTGAAGCTGACTCTCCAATCTTATTCTTCTGCCGGTGCCCCAGAGGTAACCACTCGTGAACTTGGTGAGTATCACTCCTATTTGTTTGTATGCTCACTCCACAAGCACGTGTCTCTAAGAGAATACAGAACCATGGCACGTGTTCCAATCCTCATATAAATGATGGCAAGCTGCATATGCTCTTCGGCACTTACTTATTAATGTTTCACTCAACATTGTATTTTTTAGATTTACCCTGGTTGATATATGTGACTCTGGTCTTATATTTTCACAACAGTCTTCTAAGGCAGGGTCCCCAAACCCTGGGGCCATGGACCGGTACCAGTCCGTGGCCTTTTAGGAGCCAGGCCATACAGCAGAAGGCGAGCGGTGGGCAAGCAGAGCTCCATCTTCTGTCAGGTCAGCAGAGGCATTAGATTTTCACAGAAGCGTGAACTCTATTGTGAACTACACATGCAAGGGATCTAGGTTGCGCGCTCATAATGAAAATCTAATGCATGATGATCTCCATCCCTCACAGTTCATGGAAAAACTGTCTTTCACAAAACTGGTCCCTGATGCCAAAAAGATTGGGGACCGCTGCTCTGTGGTACAAAAAAGCCACAATGGGTGATCCACTTTTCTGTTGGTAGAGAGTGAGGTTTCCATCACTGTTACAAACAATACTGTTATGGGCTCCCTTATGGTCTCCTGGTGCTTACCTGAACAGGTAATTTCACCACCTGGAAGTAGAATTGTTGGAGATGGGTATGTGCACCTGCAACTTCATTGACTGTTGCAAAATTGTTTTCTGAAGAGACTATGCAATTGTGTGTGCCCGCCAGCAGTGTGTTCTTGCCAGGACTTATGGGAGGCAGCAAGATGCAACTTGGGAGGGGTTCATGGGGCTTTTGAACTGTAGTGATAGTATTCATTGTTTAAATTATGCGATATTCAAAAGAAGGAGTCATTGTATTATCTTTAGCATAAATTTTATTCAAAATATTTCACACAATTTTAATAAAAATAATTACTCCCTCCTCAGCAAAAGAGTAAATCTGACTGTGATGGTGCCCTGCTTGGAAGACTATGGCTATTCATGGCCTTAAGAAAGGATCAGGGCTGACCGGGCTGCTGCCACCTGCCTTCAGAGGCCCTTTGTGGTTGTGGACCCAGTTGTACTCCCTGACAGTTGTGCTCCATGCTGTCCCAGGTTCTCCCACCTCTACCAGAAATGCTCTCTTCTCTGCCACCCTCCGCACCTCAACCCAGTTATTTTGTTTGAATAACTCCTGCTTTCCATTCAACACTCAGTCCATGACTTACTTCCTCTGAAATCTCATGTTCACCTCTCACACCCACACTCTCCCCTCCTGGGCTTGCATTAGAAGACCCCTCGACACATCCCAGAATCTTCCTTCACAGCCCCCAGCACAGTGCATGTCACTGATGGGTCACTTGTCCCACTCCCCATTGGACTGTAAAAACAAGGTACAGCCAGGCTCGGTGGCTCAGCCTGTAATCCTGCGCCTTGGGAGGCTGAGGTGAGTGGATTGCCTGAGCCCGCGGGTTCGAGACCTGCCTGGGCAACTTGGTGAGACCTCATCTCTACAGTAAATCAAAAAAATTAGCCGGGCGTCGTAGCGCGCGCCTGTAGTTCCAGCTACTCGGAAGGCTGAGGCGGAAGGATCGCCGGAGCCCACCAGGTCGAGGCTGCGGTGGCCGGGAGTGGCCACTGCACTCCAGTCTGAGTTACAGAGTGAGACTCCAACTCAAAAAAAAAACAAAAACAAAAACCAAAGTCCACACCATTCAGTTCCCAGTAACTGGCAGGGTTAGGTGAACGAATGAATACAGTCCAATCTCCTCATTCTGCAAAAGACTAAACTAAGGTTAATAGAAGGAAAGTGTTTGCTGGACTTGAACTCAGATCTGATTCTCAATTGAATGCTTGTCTTCTCTGATTGGTAACTTGCCTCAAAGCAGAAAAATAATTTTAAATAATTTGGATTTAAAGCTCAAACCCCAGAAGGCATAAACTAAAAGAATGATAAATGTGGCTAAATTTGACTACAAAGAAATTTTTTAAAAA